AGTCACTATAATTTTTCAAAAAACCCATGAATTGATTTAAAATTTTACAGGTTGTTTTTTAATAATGAAATAACATGCTAGCATCGTTTAAGTATATAGCCTGTACATCCTTAATATAACAATCACACACATGAATATACAAGTAAATACTAATGCTTAATAAAACATTGGAATGCACGTCTCAACGCCAACCGCAAGAAGGTCGATCAGTGGAGTGGACTTTCGGCTACAGACAGCGTTCGTGGTGTTACGCTTCGTTCTCATCGATCGCGATTACAATCTTATTTCTAACATTCCTCAAGTAGAATTGTAAAAAACTTTACTAGAATAAGGAACATGTTTATTTAACTCACCCTGCCTATTCCTGGCAAAGTGTCTATCCAAGTCATGGATAGAATAGCGAAGAATGCGATTAGGTGAATGTAGAAGAGTGTCTCTAGAATCGGTGGCTTAGGTATTTGTTTCGGTTTCACGGTTGGGTCCGGGTCTGTCACATGAAGTAATCTACCTCCCTCTTCCTCGGAACCTCGTCTTCGGATATCTCGCGACGATACCAGCCTCGAGACCGTGTACAAGAAGGAGCTCTGTTGGCTAGCCATTATCTGACACATATTTTGTTGCTAGAAAATAATCAAGAAATATATAAGCAATATTCTTTGATCTAAAGAGAGAGAAATAAAGTATATTTAAAGTACAATTATTAATGTTAGTGCCTAATCGTTGGTTTTGGGTTTACTGTAAAATCAAAGGTAAACTCTATCAATCCAAGGAGATATAATTAACACAGATGTCGCTTCGAGACATCAACTGCCTGTAATCTCCTAACTACAATTCGACCCCAACAATGAAAAATAAAAACAATTATAAAAAATCACTGAACCTTTTTTTGCCTTCTCTTAAACTGGAAGGTTCGTAAAGCAGGATGTTGAACAAATAAAAAGAAGATCGCGAATGCTGTTTGTAGGAAGTGAGTAAGTACGTACGTACCTCGGTGGTGTAATGGCCCTCGAGCAGAGTGAAGAACATGGCGAAAGCGGCGAGGGCTCCTACGTAAACGAACGTCCAAATGGCCTTCACGCCCCAGGAGCCCTTGATGGTAGTCGCATGGACGGACACGTCCCTGCCCCTGCACCGGAACTCGTCGCAAAGGCCGTAATCCACGCTTATGAACAGTCCCACTATTATCGTGGTGCTCGAGAAGATCCTCTGCAAGCTCATCACTGCAACAAACATTCAGCCTTTCACGTGGCCCCCTTCTGTGAATAAGCGATGGGCCGTCGGCGAGCGCTTACTCTTGCGACAGAAGAAGAAGTAGTACACCAAGGAGAACACCAGCGTGATTCCCTTGATGGGGTCCTGGAGGTGGCACAGTACTCGGTCACGGTCCAGGCACAGAGTCATCACTATGGCCGAGAGAGCGTACACAGAGCTGATCTTGAGCAGGGCGCACCTGGGCACCTTCACTCGCATGCTGTTGGGAATCAGAGCCGGCGGGGGTGACACTTTGCCCGTGACGAAGCACGAGACGCCCAGGATTAACGACGATGAAAAGGCAGTGAACAGAAGAGCTGTAAAACGTCATCAATTGACATAACTTGTTCAATTACACTTGCATCTTTGAATTATAACCAATTTTACGAAGATCAAGGTCATTTCAAGGTCATGTTATTATTATACATATCTAAGTGTGTTTTTTCGATCAGCTGCAATAAGAAAATAAATGTTATGTGTCAAGAATGATCTTGATAACTAAAAAATGACCTTGGGAAAACATATTCTTTATAATTAGTCCTTTGAAGCCATGCACATTACGTGACAAATTTTTTTGTATCATAATAAGCTGAACAGATGGTGGCTTGACTTAAAAAGGCCATCAAAGGTATAATTCTGAGTGGATTTTAGTTTATAACTCATGGGAGCCATCGATGGGAATAATTGGATGCAAGCTTCAGGCAGAAATTAACAATGTTAAAAGTATTGGAAGCGAGGAAATGGAAAGATAATAAAACGGGCACCGAACAATATTTTTTTGACCCCGGGGATCGATAATGTCCTCACTCCGGCGTTCTTCAATTGTTAATTTGTTAGACTGCCAATTTTTATTACTGACATTTGAAAAAACACAGTCGAACTTAAATAAACGTCCCAATTACTCTTCACGATTTCTACTCTCACAATTTTTCTATCATTTTAAAACNCATGTAATATTCATCTTACAAAAAATATGTGTGACATCCTTTGTACTTATAATAAATAATTCCTTATTGTGAAATTTAACAATAGGATTTAAGGGGGGGGGGGCGGTGGAGTGCAACTAGTTTCGTTTAACAGAATTCCTACTCTAAATAAAAACACATAAAATATCGCCATTGATTCAAGGAATTTGTTTCTACATTTCCCTCGTTCAATTGACAGTTACGAAAGTTTTATTTCCCACGGAAGTTGAATGCGGAAAACGCATTTAACTTCCACTGATTTAAATTAATTTCAACTGGCACATAATCAGATTAATTCGAGACAGGTTCTCCGGTTGTACGAGTCGAGTTGAAATAGATAAAAGCGGAAATCGTTCGCGCCGGTCAAAAGCACTTCACTTCAGGGCAGAGCTCGACTGTGGTACAATTGAACGTTGCTGAAACGAGCAATGAGATTAATTCGACCGACGGATTTTCGTACAGATTTTTCCCCGTACAATAATAGGCCAGATAAAGGCAACGGAAATCTGGTAGGACCCGTTCCGGCAGATATCATAGAACGAATTCCGTTCCACAACGATGGAGCCGAACTCCGCGATGTTTGCCGACCCGGAACGGTATCGACGCGCGCGATAACCGATCGAATTTGTACTGTGTACACGGTATTTCACTATGCGGATGAAAATATTGAACAAGAGGAGCGAGATTCAAATTCATCATTTTATCTGTATTTTTTATCTTTTTTTTTTTTTAGAATCCATGTTTGTATCGGACATTGGAGTGAAAAACAGGACGGCGATGAATTTGTTTAAGTAACATGGTAAATACTGCACCAAGAACGCTACAGATTTCATAAAAATATGTACAGTGGCTCAAAATAAAATTGGCACACTTTTTAAAATGAAATAAATTTTTTAATATCCAATTGAATGAAGTTAATTTTTTGTAGGATCCTGGAAGGGTTAGTTTACTATGTAATGAGAAAAAAGAGCTCAGAATATT